CCCCCTCTCACTCTGAGATGTTGCGGCTCCCAAACCCCAACAGTCCCCGGCCCAGGAGGGGGGGTGGGGGAATTTGGGGAGTTGAAGTCCACACGTCTTAAAGTTGCCGAGGTTGAGAAACACTGGGTTAAATGAAATGAATAAACCAACAAGAGCAAACTAACTAAGAAAAAAAAAGATAGTAAACACCTACTATCATGTATGGAGTTAATTCAATCGTTAGCCTTATTATTAAACCGGGACTACAGAGCAGCTCAAGGTGTCTTCTTCTCTTTTTTAGGCCACCAAGCCCTTTCAAAAATAGAGACCAAACACATCTCTTGGATCCAGCAGCTGCAGCAGTGAAGGGGTACCCCTCTGCCAACCTTATTTTATTGATTGATTAATTGATTGATTGATAAATCAAACTTGTATGCCACCCATTTCACTATACAAGTGACTCTAGGCGGCTCACACATAAACAACATAAAAACAGTTAAAAACAGAAAACAGAGTTAAAAAGACTACAAATGGAGTTAAAGAGCAGAAAGAGCATCCTCGGGGCGCTTAGATTTATTTGTTTCTGCTGCTCCGCAAGAGTGACGCTGTGGGTCAGTGGCTTTGGGCATGGCGTACTTCCCTCCCGTCTCAAGGATGGGGACAAAATATTCCAGGGGCAAAGAACCCATTCAATCTGTTTCTGTAGGAGATGCAGCCCACTGAGATCTTGCGAGGTAGGAAGGGACAGGACCCTTCCTGAAAGCAACTTGTCTATGAGGTGTATCTGGGTGTGGGAGGGGCGGTTAATTCTATGCTGGTCAATCACTTCCCGGGTAAGTGTGTGTGAGCCCAAGCATGTTGGGTCTTGCAAGGACATCTCAATTCTCATGCATTTATGGATCGGGAGGAGGGCCAAAAGGGGCTGAGAGCAATTTATAGCAGACTGGACTGTTGGGATCCCCGTTTTCCTTCAAGCTTTCCAACAAATTAACAGGGGTGACCAAAGGGAGGGGGTCAAAAAAGTCAAGATGAGGCCCAACCAATTTTTACATGTATCAATTTGGTTGCATGGCTGGGGCTGCCATCTTGACTTTTTTGACTCCTCCCCCAGCACACACCCTGGAACAAAATGTATAGCTGCATTAATAGCTTCAAAGCCTCGGGGTTATAGGGAGGAGTTTCCAAGATCCATCTTTTAACTTTCAGGGACTTTCTGGCTTAATCCGATGTGTCTCTGCCTGAAAGTTGCACCCATGCATTCCACAGCTGGACACCCCAGCAATCAGAGCCAGGACATCTTCAGTCAATGCACTTAACCAAGTCAGGCCAAAACCTAACAGCAGCATTTGTATGACATGGTAAACCTGGTTATAGCTCATCTTGGTCAGTTTCTTGATGGCTTAGGGGACAGTTCAAACACATCTGGTTTGGTTCCTTCAGGTTCAATGTATTGAATGAACTTTGAAAACTGAGCTAACTTAGTGACCAAACTAAGTGCCTCCCTGGAATGTGGGAATCCAGCCTGGGTGTATTTATGGGAAGGGAGATTAAAACAACTGCAAAGACTGTGAAGGATTAGAGTCCTGGCAAATGTTCTCCACCAACCTGACCCACCTCAACCCCTCTGTAGCAATGAAAAACAACGACTGTAAGATCTCCCCATACCCACCTACAGAGAATACACTAAACTCTAAAGCTCAGTCACTAAAGCACAATACCACATTCACATCACATGCCAAAGAACCACCATTCATCCAACGTGCTGAGACAATGGCTGGTTTCTTAGAACATGTGGAACCTCAAATGACTCCACCTGGCTTTAGCCAAGCATCCAAGGGAGGAAATCTCAGAAGGCTGTTGAAGAGGGAAGAAGGAGGTCTCCCTTACCAGAATGAAGAGATACTCATTGGCAAATGTGTGATGCTCAGGAATAGTCGAAAACACAGATAAAATCAGACAGCTGAAGACCAGGAGAAATCTGGAAGAACAAAAAGGAGGGGAACATGGGTTAGCCCAAGCCAGCACCCCCAAGAATGATTGTGTCATGTGAGCACAGCACTTTCTGGTACCACAACTGCCTGAGAAGCAAATCTTGGAGTGAGTTATGCCAGTGTTTCCATTCAAACTGTGCTAAGCCTGGTCAAAAAATGTGATTCTTTCCTCAAGGCTGCTCATGATCCTCTGGGGATCCCAATCCATAATGGGAGAAAGCAAAAGCAAAACTCCAAATGATCTAAAGAGGTTAGGGAAGTGTCCTGAAAACAGCAGAATGAAACCTGAGAGACACAAAGGTAAACTTCTTCACTCAGAAAAAGAAGTCAGCCCCACAGCTACAGCTTGACACTAGTCACGTGCAAACAGAAGGTTAGAACTGCATTTGATCAGGGGTGGATCAGCAATGTGATCTGGCTGCAATAATAATAATAATAATAATAATAATAATAATAATAATAATAATAAT